CACATTTTTCACATTTTTCACATTTTTCCACTTTTCACTATTTTCACTTTTTTGACTTTTTTCACTTTTTTCACTTATTTCACTTATTTCACTTTTTTCACTTATTTCACTTCTATCACTTTTTTCACTTTTTTCACTTTTTTCACTTTTCACATTTTTTACTTTTTTCACTTTTCCTTCCTTTGATCTCCTCTTTGAACTCGTTCTGAACGTCTTTCAATTCAATTCAATTTCATTTCTATAGCTCCACATCACAACAACAGTTATCTTTCCAAACAGAGCAGGTCAGACCTACTCTGAAGTTAACTACAGAAACCCAACAATTCCCACCATGAGCAAGCACTAGGCGACCCAGGCAAGGAAAAACTTCCTTTTAATTCAATTCAATTCAATTTTATTTATATAGCGCCATCACAACAGTTGTCTCCCAGCTTTCCAAACAGAGCAGGTCAGACCTACTCTGAAGTTAATTACAGAAACCCAACAATTTCACATTTTTCACTTTTTTCACATTTTTCACTTAACTTTTTTCACTTATTTAACTTTTTTAACTTTTCACATTTTTAACTTTTTTCACTTTTCACCTTTTTCACTTTTTTCACTTTTATCACATTTCACTTTTTTCACATTTTTCACCTTCAACACTTTTCACATTTAACTTTTTTCACTTTTTTCACTTATTTCACTTTTTTCACATTTTTCACGTTTCACATTTCACTTTTTTAACTTTTTCTTTTTTCACCTTTTCACTTTTCACATTTTTCACATTTTCACTTTTCACTTTTTTCACTTTTTCCCTTTTTCCACTTTTTCCACTTTTTCCACTTTTTCCACTTTTCACTTTTTTCACATTTTTCACATTTTTCATTTTTCACTTTTAACTTTTTTCACTTTCTTCTCTTAGTTTTTTTGTCAGTATTTCACCTTTTCCACATAATCTGAATTTCAAACCCAGTTTTCCTCTCTATGATTCTTTTTTTTCTACTTTTGGTGTCATTTTTCGGTCATTTTGAATCCTGCTAGCATGTGGTCATTTTTTGTTTTCTGGTAAAATTCTGGGTCTGATCTGGACCAGTATTCTCCCCCCTTTGGGTCTGATCTGGACCAGTATTGTCCCCCCTCTGGGTCTGATCTGGACCAGTTTTCTCCCCCCCTGGTCTCTGGGTCTGATCTGGACCAGTTTTCTCCCCCCCTGGTCTCTGGGTCTGATCTGGACCAGTTTTCTCCCCCCTCTGGGTCTGATCTGGACCAGTATTCTCCCCCCTCTGGGTCTGATCTGGACCAGTTTTCTCCCCCCTCTGGTTTTCAGACCCGGACCTGGACCAGAACCCGGAGCCCTGGGTCCTGTACGGTGCCCTGCTACTGGTTCCAGTCGCCGTCCTGCTGGTGCTGCTGGGCGCCATGCTGCTAAGGAGCCCCGCCCCCTATGGCCACGCCCCATATGACCACGCCCCCTAAGGCCACGCCCCATATGGCCACGCCCCACATGACCACGCCCCCTCAGAGCCACGCCCCCTCCGGACCTCCAGCCTTCCTACCAGCTCATCTCTGCCTGGGTGTTTTTTTTCCTTCAACTTCAATTACCTTCAACCTCCTGATTTAATTTAAAATTAAGGAAAATCTGTGAAAAAATCTGCTTTTACGATCTTTAGATCAGAA